CCCTAAACCGTAAGCCCTAGACCCTCCTTCGAGGTCTACCGATGCTGCCCAGCCTGTTAACTGCCCTCCGGCGGGCCCGTTTTCGTGAGCTCGAACCGTAAATCCTGAACTCTAGACCCCCAAACTCTACACCATACAGGGTTTACGGGTTGAGGGTTTAGGGTTTTAGGGTTTAAGGCGCCATAAACCCCAAGCCTAAACTTGGCTTTGAAGCTTTACGGTGACATCTTTATCACGGCTGTACAATCGTAATAAGGGTATCCTGGCCATTTGCGCGCATACTGGGGAGCCTAGAATACATAACCTCACAACAGTATTTAAAGCCTACACCCTATACCTTACAAGCCATAAACGGATCCCCAAATTCCCGCATAAACCCTTGGAGCCCGAAGCTCTCAACCCCAACAGTCGAGACCCTAAAGACCATTCTGAATCTCGATGAGCATACATAGGAATCCTGTACCAAAAGCCCTGTCCTAGAGCGGTTTAGGGTTGTTTTAGGGTTTTTGGGCCCCTCATCCCTAAACCCTAAACCTTTAAACTTCTTCAATGCTTGAGGATGCCCTGCTTGCCGACCTGGGAGAGCGAGTGGAGACCTCCGCGCGACTTGGCCTTGGGCTTTGGGGGCTTACTCAGGGTTTCTAGTGTTTGGCGTTTAGGGTTTCGGGTTTCTGGTTCAAGGTCTAAGGCTTCGGGCCTAGGGTTTGGGGCTTCGGGTACTTTTACAAGGCTTGGAGTTGAGGCATATAGAGTTTAGGGTTTAGGGTTTAGGGTTTAGGGAGAGGATCGACCGTTGAGCGGTGAGCCTTCCACAAGACACAGACACACCCTCAGCCCCATGCGATAGCTACGGTTGATGATATATAAATCCGGCATTACCCATAATTAGGAATGTACCATAATTCCCGTAGTTTAGGGTCCTTAAGGTAATGCAGGATTTATAACATCAGCAGTATTACTTGCTCTGTACCCTGATGGTAGAAGTAGATTCTGAAGCCATGAAAAGCCCGAAGCTCAAGCCAAACGTCCGACAGTTACACCACTTAAGGCCCCTACATCACATCGTCGGACATTGGCACAATCTGCTTCATTATGCAATAACGTTCTTAAAAGCACCTCCACACACACGTACATCCGTACTTACAAACAAACAAAAAACAAACCATCATCAAGCTGTCAAACATTCATTGCATTAGCTTATTACATGGCTTTAGCAGCTGGTCCCCACGCAAGGACCGCCGTAGACCGCCAGCTGCGCTTGGCAGAGGCACGTCACCGCAGACTTCGAATTTCATAACCCTCCAGGTACCTACTATAGAGGGTACTAGAGCCCCTAGGGCCCTATATAGTAGGTACCTGGAGGGTTAGGGTTTTAAAACCTCGATACTTTGAGCCCTTTTTGCTTGACTTCTAAAGCCCTCAAGCCTATAGGGTTTAGGGTTTAGGATCTATTTCAAAAACTCAACGTCAGAAAGCCTAAGCTCGAAAAGCTGTAATCTTGCTTGAAAATCTGCACCCAAAAGCCCGAAAGCCGGAAAGCAGCGTTTCAATAACAGCAACACAAAAAGGAACGTAACAATGCCGACATCCCCCTAACCCTGCACCCCAAACCTGAAACCCATGCCGAAAGCCGTCCAAGCTGCTCGTGCGGGTGTGTTTCAGACCTTCTTTTACTCTCGAGTCGACACGCACCGAAAGTTCGGAAACAAATTCGGCCTCAAGAGAGAGTATTGCTTAAGGCTTTGGTTAGACCCTAAGGAGTTTAAGTTTCCAACTGATCTCGTAGACCCTAAACCTTAAACCCTAAACCCTAAACCCTAAACTTCCGTCCGTTGAACGTGTGAGTGAGCGAGTGAGTGAAAGGCTCCCTCTGCCTCCGGGGATTTCGGAGTTGAGGTGAGGGCTTCAGGATTACCAAGGGAACCCAAAACCTACTTTTTTGTAGGGTCCCTATAAATCCCATATTAGGGTTTATAATAAGAACCTACAAAAAATTGGGTTTTGGGGTTCTTAAGGTAGGGGTTAGGCATACACATAGCATATGAGCACTAGTGAGGAAGGTCTTCGACTCCTCTCAGTGCCTAAGGGTTCTTTTGAGGGTTCCTGTAAGGGGTTTGGGGCTTTGTGCCTGACTTTTCGGCATTCGGGGTTTGGCGGTGTAGAGGGTTTCGGTGATGTTGTCGATGGTGAAGGGTTCATCTTGCTCTATTGTTTCGAGATTAGGAACCTCCCTAAACGCTAAACCCTAAACCCTAAACCCTAAACCTCAGGGTGCCTAGAATTCACAAAACCCGAACCTCCGTCAGCCCTACAAAGCCCGCAAGGTCCAAGATGCTTGGGCCCCCAAACCCCTGCACCTTATGGAGGAGGTTTAGGGTTTAGGGTTTAGGGTTTAGGGTTGAATAAGGTTTTGGGG